TTCCAATTTTAGAATGAGAAAACCACAAGTACTTGAACCAGACTAATTCAATTTGCTTTCTATAAAATAATAATAATAATAATAATAATAATAATAATAATAATTCAAGTTATCCAACAGTCTAATTCAAATATAGCCCACAAAATTTTCTTGCCAGATTAGCAGTGAAGCATCTCTTTCTCATCCCAATTGCCGGAAGGTTTCCTCTTCTTTCTGCGATGGTCCATTTAACATATCCAGATTTCTTTGATATTTTTCCATCTGAGCATTACTTCATTGTTGAGGCAACAGAATATTAATGGATTTAGAAAAGGGTCCTCCTCTCATCTCATGAATAGTTTATGAATGAAAAAAACTGCATCAGATAACCAAGACAAACACTTATCTGAACCACATTTTTGCCTGCATGGGCGTGTGAAAGACAAGCATCCCACTTGGTGTTTTTGCTAGTTGAAGGAAGGGAGAGTTCCAATATTGACATTCCAACTCGAAGTCTCAAGTTTCTATTACTAGACCAGGAGTAGAAATACACCTAGAACAGAATTCCCTGATGCCGAAAAATTGAATGAGAGGAAAGGAAAGAGAAAAGGAAGCAGCAGCAGCCAAGAAGAGGAATAAGAATAAACAGAGATGACGGTTCAATATCACCAAAAAGCGAAAGCAGTGGGATATTCCTCTAAGCCTCAATCAAGTTAATGGACTGTGTCTTACTATCCTGCATTTCAAGTAATGAATTATTAATTACTAGTCGATGAAAGGAAAAATGATGCTCCTCAATGGAGAGAACAAGCATTATTTAATACCCCCAACATAGAAAAGGATTAAATCAGAAACAGATATCTTGCCTTCCTAACCGAGAGAGCTCAGGCTCTGCCAACAGCATATGTTCCAGTGATTTCAAATTCATCCCCCTTTCCTCACAACTGTAACGACACAACAAAGGCAATCACTTTCTTCAGTCAGTAAAAAAAACAGGGGTTCTTTCTTTTCTTCTATCCTTCATCTCCCCCACCAAAAACAATGCCCACAAAATGTAAACATATAAATGCAATGTACACATAAATATCTGGATATTCAATAATCAAATAGATAAATATATTCAATAATTTCACATCTAAAAAAAAGGGGAAGAAAGGAACAAAGAAGAAAGAAAGGAAGTCCAAACCTGTAGATATAATCAAGGGAAAGCAACCTGTGGTGAACAGAGTAATCACTGCCAACGTAAGTCACAATTAAGCTACCTGCATCAGGATGGGGCCAGCTCCTTGAAGTGGGAAACCGCAGAACAAATGTTCCAGGCTCTTGAAGGCCCCTCAGACCCTGAAGTGACAGTTCTGCTTCTTCCTTTGTGATAAATCCTTCTATCCACTTTGGCGAAGTCGAATTCCATATTGTATTTATTGGATCGCTTGCTAATGTAAAGGCAACAGGATACAACCAACGCCATATCTTCTCAAAATTTTCTTGGGCCATATATTCCCGACATCCAGCAATTCTCCTCAGGAGCTCAAAATCCTGAAACAGTTATTAACTCTGAATAGTTATTACGTTCATATGTCTCCAAGTTGTGCCAACTCATGCTTGTGCACCATTATAAGATGCTCAGCATAAAAAAGCTTCTTCTGAAGATTACTGATTTAACAATTAGTGCATCAACAGAAAGATACAAACTACCATTAGTTTCCCCAAGTCCTGTAGGGCAGCAACCTGCTTAAATGTACTTAACTAGACCTTGGCTACAAGTTCATATGGAAAGGGGCTTGATATGTTTAAGAGAGCATGTTAAGAGTTAATATTAAAAAAATATCACTGCATTTATGGGTACGTAAAGCAAAAACAATTTATTGTAAGAACTTACGATGAATTATTTTCATCCACACAATTTTCTGTCTTGTTTATATTTTTATTCACTTCAGGTGAACCCAGTGACTTTCAAATTGGATGTTTTAGATTCAGATTCTAAGATGGGTAAATGGGGGTTAAAGAGATGGATGAAATTAACCCCTGTTGTGTGGCCTCTACACAAGAAGCCCACAAATGAATCTGAAAATATATGTGCCACATGCATGAGGCCATGTCATTGCTTCCTAACAATGATCCAAAACTAGTAATATTATTTTCAAGCCACCAGTATATCAACCTCAACATGTAAGTAGCAGCATGGTGTCCGTGTGTGTTCACAATGAGTACATGAAGGAGAAGAAAAGGCAACCTTTTCTGTGAGGGATCTAGTACTGGAGCAAGTAATCCTCATGAATTGCTCTTCAATCTCAAAAATCACATTCTCCCAATGAATGAGGCGGTTGTTTTGTGAGATTGAATTCCAAACTTTGGTTCCTTCCTCTATCAACCTCTTTGCTATCACTATCTGTCGTCTGAACAAGAATGATGGTACTGTGAGTATTAAAACTAGACAATAGGGCTCGTGTGATTTAGAAATTCTTCTTGCATGGAGTGGCAACAGGTGGGAATGACCACTTGGTTAGTCAAATTACACGCCACAAAGCTTCCAATATTTCTATCCTTATTCTAAACTATAAAAATTGCAAACAGACGAGGAATAAAAAAGACATGAAAATGGCCCACTTCCCCTCGTTAATTTCGCACGGGGAAACTATGTTAAGTGCATAGATTTGTAGGCAACACATGTAATGCTCATTCTTGCTTCAATCTAGTGCACAAGGATAACATGAATTTTTATTGTAAGTAGCAAATGATAGGAGAAGAGAGGAAAAATAATGTAGCGAGCATACATGCATGCCAAAGTAATCCAACAAGTTTGACCTGAAAAGGTGAACTGAATAGCTTGTAAGCAAAATCAACAAAATGCTGTAATTGAAACATTAGCAAAGAATCATTATGCTAGATGAGCACTAATAGATGGTCACAAACTTTGTGCCTGTATTTTGTCTGATTTCTATTCCTAGACTTCATTTTTTTCCATTTGAGTTCCCATTCATTTAAAAATCAATTAATCAAGGTATTCTAGAGCAAATGTAGTTGATTGATCATTTCTCAAGAGTATAAGAACTTAAATAATATATATATCACTTTAACCTTCTAAAAATTAAACAGGCACAGAATCCTCAAACAAAATTGCATCCAGAATGAACCAAATCCTTACATTACCTGTGGTGTGAACATCCTGAGTATAGAGATACCTCATCTGCAAGCCTAAAAAGCTCTTCTTCAGAGGCAGAGGTGGCAACCTCCTTCAGCAGAAGAGCCCTATCCGTCAATCCTCCCAGGCAGTATTTAAAAATGGTCACATCTGATATTGAATAGCTGCTGCTTGATGTGATATTGATATCTGATAACCTTTCTTCAATACTGTCTGACACAGATGGTGAATTGTCTGCTTCTTCAACATTCTCTGCTCCCCTGTCTAATGGTATCCGTGGTGCATTCTCAACCTAAATTCCAAATGATGGTGCAGTTACTCATGACAAGATAATATAATAATGAAATTTGCGAGAATAAATATCTACTCCAACCTCAGGTTTCCAAATGAGAGTCTCCAACATCACAGTTAAACTAAATGATATGTCAAGGAAAGGACAGTGCATGGAAAATGTATTCCAAGTAAGAAAACACTATCTATACCAATGCTGCACATTTGGTATAAGATTTCTGTATCTAGAATATTCCAAGTAAGAAAAACACTATCTATACCCATGCTGCACATTTGGTATAAGATTTCTGTATCCAGAACCACACGCCAGCAAACAATAGATTGTGGCATTAAATTGAGAGTTGGATAATAAAAATAAATATAAACCATAGACTGTATGCTTATATCATTTACAATTATAACATATTTTTTAAAAATCTCCTGTCCTTCTCTTACTTAAAGACACAATATTAAGCACCAACTTTGGTCTTGGTCATGTCAACAGGGCCAAAAATAAATAACAGGAACTAAACAATCTGCTGTAAATCACGTGGACAAAAAGGAAAAAGAAAAAAGAAAAAAGAGTAACATCAAAGACAGAAAAAAAAAAAAGAGTAACAACCAAAAGATAGCTTAGAAAAAAAAATATAGTAGAAAAGTTTTGATGATATAGTAGCCATATAAAATAAAATAAATGACACCTGGTGATCCTCCCAAATATCCTAGATTTTGCATGGATATTTATGCTTACAGTAGTTCAACTATTCAAACTAATACTAGTACAATCACAAGGATGATGACGATGAAAATGGTAATTAGAAATAAAAGTACTCATTTTATACCTGAGTAGTTATCCAAGCATCAGAGTTGCATTCCACATCTGGCTTCTCCATGGTAGATGTCTTTTGTTGCCCTAGTTTGATTCGTTTTGATGATGGACTAGGTCTTATCTCATGGATAGAGTTGTGCTGCAATTCTATAGATCCATTATATAGTCCAAATGATTGAGATTTGTTGAAAGGCTCAGCAACAGAGGTTGGCCTTTTCCATGTCAGAGATGTCCGGGGATTACGACTTCGAGAGATGCAACGGATTGGATGGGAAAATGCCTCCAGGAAATGATACCCAATGAATTTTGGGATTTCTAATTTAACACGGAAAAGCCTATTATCACACTTGGATGAAAGCTGACACGAGAAAGAAAGCAGAATCACTTGCAAATTCCATAAATATTGGTAGCAAGAAGCTAAATTGCATACATATTTAATCTGTAGTGAATTAGTGAACTCAGAATCCCGTTCCAAGAGTAATCCTTCTCATTGCAACGCAAGGAGAATAATTCTTACAACACATGGACACATACCAAACGAAGCTTTGATGCTTAGACTTTTGGGATTTTGATAGTGGTCGTGGTTCAAAATGTTTTTCGCTTAAAATGCATTAAAATAAAGTTTTTTTAAAAAAAAATTATTTTTGATATCAGTATATCAAAACGATCTGAAAACATAAAAAAAAAAAAAATTAAGCACAAAAAAAATCAAAATTTTTAGGAACATGATTGGTTTGTACAACGTTCCCAAACACACTCTTTATTGCATTGCCTACTAGAGCACAGGCAAGAACCATGAGGTGACCCAAGACCAACATTGTTTCCATTTGAAATATATTTGTAACAATGGTAAAAAGAGCAAGCTATTGTGCCAAGAAGGAAAGTCAGCCTAAATAAGATATATTCACATTTTGTATATATATATATCAGAGACACCAAGTGACTTAGTGTAACTCATTTACATGAATCCAACAAAGGAAGCATCTACATTATAATTCAAGAACAATAATGATGATTATTTCAGCTATATGTAGAAGACTCTAATGTAATATAGTGTTCATCAAATTGTGATCATCCAACACAAACTTTTGCGATATGCAGCATGTGGATTCTCTAAAAAATATGATGTCTGGGACATAACATGACCAAATGGAAAATCATAAAATGAATAATTGTATGCTTATTTATAAAGCAAATTCATGGGATGTTCAAGGTCAAGAAAGAGCTTCCAACTGCATGAGACTGCAAGCTAGCTTCACATAATATTGTTCCTGTCATAGCAACTTCCACTAGAGGTATATGGTAAGCAAAGTTTTATCAGATAACCAAAAACATATGATAGTCTTCTTTATACTTAAAAACAGTCTTGTAGGGGAAAAAATGCATATGGAATGCTGAAGACATCTGTTTTCGGGCCAAAACAGAAAGGAAAAAAAAGAAGTGAGAATCACCATAAGAATCTTCATCTTGTCAATGCATAGAAGAGGGACACTTGTACATACACTTAGAGAATTGGATAAGTAACCAGAAAACTTATTAACATCTGACAAACTACCTGAGATATTTTGAGCTTCAAAGATGCACGCCCATGCAATAGTTTTCCTGGTCTATCATAATTAGAAAATTCAACCCCATCGCAGCTTGTCAAAAGGGGATCTTCATCATCAAATGTCTTCTCCACAGGAAGCCCATTGTCCGCATATACCAGTGAAGCAACAATCTATTAAAGCAAGTAATGTATAAAATGTTAGTACAAGAAGTAATGAAAAAAATACAAGAAAATTATAGAAATTGCACTATTGGAAAACTCATGATGCAATTGCAGACCTCCAATTCCTTGTTTATAGCCTGGCTCATTGCATTTAATAAAACCACATCCAAGGAAAAAATCCTCCGGCATGAAGCCTGCAAAACAGCAAATATGAGAATAAAAGCTCAGAATGCTGCTTGGTTCATAACTTCAGCAATGTTAACCTTAAATGTAGGAATGTTAACAGTCTGTTAGTTCACACTCCACATCTTTAGAGGATTTCATTCAACCCATTTTATAAGTTTGAGAGAGAGAGAGAGATATTACAACTCTTGTGGTGCTGTGCAGTTCTTTCAATTTTTTAATACTCTCTGCTTGGAGAGAAAATGTCGAGATATATAAAAATCAATTTTTATCTAAACAGTCAATCTGATATGGAGTGGCTTTCTTGGTTTCCTCTGATGCTCTAAATCTCAAGTTTTCCATGCATTTTCTGATCTGATATTTAGTAAGCCTCACAGGAAAACAATAAAGCAATAGAATTGAGGGAAGAGAAGCAGAAAATGTCCACCAAATTTATATGGTGCACTACAGAGCAGAGATTTCACCATAAAAATAGCAGGGGAATACAAAACACAAAGAAGGTTCTAAATTAACCACAATAAAACCTGAAACCTGTTTGTGTACAAAAAGAAAAAATAGTTGAATCCCAAAAGAAATCATAGAAACTGGCCCTAGGTGCAAATGCTGCTAAATCTTTGCTCTCACCAAAGATCTAATTAAAAATTATCATTTGAGGATTTCACCTAATTCATTGAGCCAGATCACAAGTTACAAGCATTAGCAACTATTTTAACATGGAGGATACTTTATCCTCCTTTCTTTCATTTCCTTTCCCATTACAATACAGTATGGAGTGATAAGAGTAGTATGTGATGAATGATGAACAAATAATTTAAATTCCTTCCACAAGACCATTTTTCATTCAAGATGTTTAATAGGTAGGGATATAAGTTAGTTGGACAGAAAAGGTCACACTTTTTTGCTTTACATTACAGTCTTCTACCTCATCAATTGCTTTGCATTACAGTCTTCTACCTCATCAATTTTTCCCCGATTCTACCATTAGGCCCATTTCACCAACTAGTCCTTGGAATTTTATGCAGTCTATTTCTTCCTCTAACAGGATAAAATCATTACACACAACAGCCATAAATTAAAATTAAGCAAATGTAAGTGGGAGGATAGGGAAGGGAAGTTTTAATAATCCACTGCTTATAAATACACCCTGTTTCAAAAGATTTTCCCTTCAAAATTATGACTCCCTTGGCAGGAAATCTTGCTAGCTGCATAAAATAAAATTACAAATATTCCCACCTATTTCTCTTCTTATTCCCTTCCTTAAGACCAAACAAGAGAAGCACATTAATTTTTATAATTTTCACTTCCTCCACTTCCCTTCCAAATTAGAAAACAAAGGGCAAAGAGATGTCCTCTTCACCTATTAAAGATTAGCAAATACAAACATCAAAACCTAGCCCTTGTGCATAAGCTGCCTAGGCATCATTTTCTCACACAAAAGGTCGACATGTGCAGCATCTTGCTAACTCACGATGGCAACTATTATTCTTCAATTCGCAAAAAGACTGAAAATGGTTAGATGAGTTAATCTCATAGATCTTATCATGCAGCTATTCGAAATGGCTGGCAGGAATAAAAGAGAAGAAACAGCAACCTTAAGATAAACCCAAGAACAAGTGACAATCAAGTCACTCATGCCCTAGTGGAACATCCCTGCCAGATGGTTTTGGGATGTAACATGACTCCTTAAGAAAGTATAACATCAAAATTATCTATTTTTACTAACCTTGCCTCCAACAATATTCCAGATGCCATCATTGTCTTCATCAATTTCAGAGGTGGACGAGAGATCAATTGATAACCACAGAGGTGGATCCTACCATAGCATATGCTTATTTGTCAAGTATTCAGTGAATTTATAGGCATGTTTTAAGAGAATAACAGAATCCAGAAAAAATGTCTTTTACAAACCTTAACGTAGTGATCCTTAATGGACAAGCTTAAAGGCAAGACTTCTGCATGGTAAACATAACCCTGCAGGCCATCATCTGCACAAGAACCAACTAATGCTATCTTCCTCAGTCCATTGGAATTCCAGTTTTTGTCAAGGGAGGATGACTGGGGCTGCTCGCTTACAATCTCCCCATTAATGTGAAGCCGAAAAATATCAGTAAGAACCTATAATTAGCAAAATGACTTTTAGCCCTTTGTAACTGAAGAGAGAGCTGGTGAGAGAATGAGAGGGAGAAGGGAAAGTGGAAAAATATTATATATATATATAAAAAAAAAGCCAGATTAACAAGATAAAAAAACTCAATAATGGAAAAGTAACCTCCATACTATAAATTTCATAAATGACTAATTGTGTGGCTTGACTTCTAAAGCATACCTCAAATCCAACATGAATCCAGTTTTCCAGAGGACGTTTAATCTCCATTGATGTAGAATTACTAGAATTTGTAGTTTCTTTGTGTGCATGGAGAAGTGGAAAAAGCGTGATTATCTTGTCATTCAGAACAAGAAAAGGAGCATTGCTGGTAATATCCGGGTAAACCTGTGAACAAAAGTATTTAGTTCAGCAATTCATTTTGAAGGAAGAAAAAGAAATTGTCAAACAAGCAAAACACACCAGTATACCGCATTACAGAATATAAATCACTGGTTAACAAAGATCTATGGAGTATGCAGAATGGTCACCTTCAGGCTTTAGTATTAAAGATGATTATCAATATCTAAGCAGTCAAAAACATTATTCAGCTCCTTGATTTTGCTGACTAACTCTACTACAGCTGATAAAGTTCTCCTGCTCATTATCCTTATTAAAATCTAGTAATTAGACTTTCATGCCATAGGACTACAGGGCTATACAAAAAAGGTGGAATGAGCTAGCGAATTTGGAAAAACTTTCATAATTTACATGAGAGGTGAGCCTATAAAATCTTCAAGGAAAAAAAAATAAAAGAAATTAATATCAACTGTAGTAATGCCACTTTTTTCCCCTGGAAAGTAGCTATACACCCCGGAAACCATAAAAGATATCAAGCAGATAACTTGGTCAAATTTAATGAGGAACGGCACTACTCCTGCTCATGACCGTATAGAGAGCACTAACCTTTCTACATTTAAACCATATAAAATAAGGAGCCAGCAACAAACTAGCAATGTACTTGATCAAGACAACAACACAATCCCAATGGAAAGAAAAATTCAAGATATGGATGCCACTCAATTGAAGCAAATGTTTACAACACTCTAAAAATACACGAACCCATCAAAAGAAGAAAAATTTAAACATGGGTTACACCTCAAGTGATAGGATAAAAGGCTGGAAGTAGAAATAAACTTAAAACCCCTGTTGAATGACTAAATGCATGACAATCTAACAAAAAAAAAAAAAACAGAGAAAGGGCACTGTTTTCCAAACCTGTTTGATGATTGTCGCAGGGAATGTTGTGGTGGAGGAGTCAATAAGATAAACCCAGAAAGAGAGAGATAAATCTTTTTCGTTTTCAACTTCGATTTCCATTCTGAAATCTTTCAGCAAAATGTAATCTTTTCTGTTTATCACATTATTATTATTATTACGACTACCCATGATTTTTATTTCTTGATCAAAAGGAACCTCAAAAGCCCAAACCCCTCCTTCTCTCTTTCTGTTTCTCTCTCTAAACAAACAACGACACTATAAAAGAAGCTGGAATTTTGTTACTTTCTATCTCTAAATTACACTTTATTAGTATGTTTTTCTCACTACAAGCAGCGAGACAGAGACGGTTGTTCTGTGGCGGCTGTTCCGTTGTTAATTGACGGTTGGTTCGGTGGTGGGTTCGGTTTCTTTTTCTTCTTCTTTTTTTTTTTAATGAAAATGAAAGTAAGTGGGTAATAATCAAGTGCTTCGTGTCAAGACAAAAGAACAACTACCTTGGGGTTAGACTGGGAATTTAATGAAGTCAAAAGTTGACTTTTGTAATGAATTGGAGGGAAATTGGTCCTTTTTCTTGCTGAACCCCCTTCGTCCTCCTGTGAAGGGCAAAAATCTAGGAGTGGAGAAAGAGGATTGATTTTAAAAAAAAAAAGGGAAATGAAAAAGAATTATTTTAATTATAAAATAAACTTCAATTGCAGTACCTTTCGATGTTCATATTACTGTTCATAGTTAATATTTTTCTTTCTAGGTCCTTGAATGTTTATTTATTTTTACTTTGGCCAGCAGATTTTTGTTTAATTATAGCTATATTGACATTTGTTTTGAAATCTGTTTTGATTAACATTCTCTTACACATCCAAATCCAATGTGATATTGAATATTCTAGAACTAAATTAAACATCAATTTTATGAAATTGAATTTAAATTTATTCTTAAAATAAAAACAAAAAAACATTAGGGACCAAAATTAACATTGAAAAAATAGTCTTTTTTTTTTCCAATTACACCATTCAAAAAGCATGGAAAACTTCAATTTGATCTTTCAAGATTATTATTTTGCATATTTCATAATTGTTCTTTTAAATTTTTTATTTTTTTATAAAACTTCATTTATTTTACATTCAATCCCTAATTGTTGTTAAATGAGAGAGAAAATAGTTTTAAAAAAAAAAGGAAAGAGAGGAGAGAAAAATTTTATATGACCAAATTTCAGCCATTAATATCTATAATTTTAATATTCATGAATTCAACTTTAAGTGATTTCTATTCTTAATGATAGTCTAAAAAATATATCTAGACTCAATCAAAACATTCTAGGGACATAAAATAAAACTTAAAACAATGATTTTAATATCATTAAAACCTATATTCACAAGTTGTTTTGTTTTTTTTTACTAAAAAACTTTATGAATATATTTGGTTTTTACAGGTAAAAACCAAACAATCTATTTATAATCTTATTTTATTTTTTATTTTTTTACTCAAATCTTAAAACATTAACACCTAATTTTATTTTTTATTTTTTTACTCAAATCTTAAAACATTAACACCTAGTTTCCACCAACCTATATATAATTTGAATTGTTTTGTTATTTTTATATTACACTTATTTATTTAAAATTCATTCTGATTAAATATTAGCACAATCTTTTATTAGCTGGATTTAAATAAAAAATAATATTAATAAAAATAAAAATAAAATAATATATATAAGATTTTTTATATACTCGAAGATTGTTCATTTGAAATTTTTAAGGTACTCAGTATTTAAATAAAAAAATCACTATAAATTATATTACATGACTTGATTTTTTTTATTTAGAAAGGACTTAATTAAAAATAATTATATTATAGATGATACATTAGCTATTTGACGTGCATTTTGTTGAGATATTTTTTTCAACAAAAAAAATTGACCATGTAGTCTTTTTCTATGTGTGTTTTTATATAAGTATATATATAAAAAAAAGATTCCGCATGTATTTAATTAAATAAATTGAGAGCCATCTATTTTAATAAATGAAAAAATAAGTCATTGATGATAATTAAAGACAAAATTAGAAAAATTGAGTGAAAAATATAAATCAAGATATTTAACATTGTAATATGAATAAGTAATATGAATAATTTACTCACAAAATTAGAAAAATTGAGTGAAAAATATAGATCAAGATATTTAACATCGTAATATGAATAATTTACTCGGTTATACTTAATGAATTTGTTTATTAAAGTTATTTTTTTATTTAATTAAATGATAATAAAAATAAAAACATACATAAAATTGATTGAATAAAATAAAAAAACATATATTACAGAAAGTTACACATATTAAAAATATTATTTATAAATAAATATTAATTTTTATTTTTAAAAATAAAATTCATTTATATAAAATATGAAAATAATTTTTAAATAAATTTGAATAATCTCTTTAAAGATCAAGTACATAAAAAATAACTAAAAACAAAACTGTTATTTAAAAAAGCTAAATAAAAAAATAAAATATTAGAGAGAGGATATGAATTTAAATATATATTAAAAAATTCTTTTAAAAAAACACATATTAAAAAAGATATTAATTAATTAATTTTTTTTTTAAGATGGCCAACACTTCTAACCTATTTGGAAAGGACTCGTGCATATGTTTTTCCTTGTATTCTAGCCATTGGAAAGGACTCGTGCATATGTTTTTCCTTTTATTCTAGCCACTATGATGGTAATAAATAAGGGTTCATGGCTTTTCAGGTAAAAATTTATTTTTAATATTTTTTAATTTAAAATATTATAGATATCTTGAAAAACCAAAGTACTCATGTACATGCTTCCCCTTATATTCTAGCCATTATAGTGGTGGGAAAAAAGAGTTGATTGTTTTTTAAATAAAAATTTATTTTTAATATTTTTTTAATTTAAACACCTAGAACAATGTAGATATCTTGATAAACCCATTAATTGTCTTAAAAAACCTAAAAAATATACTAAAAACTGAAATTAACTTGAAGAAATAAAAAAACTTCACGAGCTTATATTTGGTTTTTTTAGATATTTTGAAGGTAAAAATATATCTGAATAAAATATTTATAATCAAATGGGATTTATTAACACCATAATTGACAATTTTAATGGCTAAAATCTATGTCATTATTGATTTTTCTATTTACTAGTGTAATATACCGATTCTCTTTTCTCTCTCAAACCAGATTTTTAAAATAAAATTAATTTTGTTTTGAAATTTTTAAAATTGGTGGAACAAAATATTTTATAATTTGAAAAATATAAGTAATTCAATAAACATTGCTCTCAAAGTTTGAAAAAACCACCCATTTCATCAAATGTTTTTCTCATTCCTTTTCTTTTAATCTCACAATTTCTTAATAAATTAACCTATTGGCAAAAGCAAGAACAAAAAGAAAGTAGAAAATGAATGAAAAAACACCGTGAATAGTACATGCATAGTGTTTGTTTTGTGAAGGACTTGCATTTTGCACAATAAATTATCTACACGTTTTAAAGTTTTGTTAATAATTCAATCTCTATATTAAATATTTTTAACATCTTAAATGCTTTGAAATGTATTAATCTGATGTAAGAGACACTTTTATTGTTCTATTTTCAATAATAATAAAAAAAATTATAACATACATCTTAAATGAAAGCTACAATCTTTCATTGAATCAAAACAAAAATAATTCACAAGTGCAAATTTTTTTAGGAAAAAAAAAAACCTTTTTAATTTTCTCTGTTATCACCTTTTCCATTTAGTTCATGCTAAGAGATCAAGATAAGCAAAATATTTGTGGTGATATATGAGAGCATGCTACCATTTTTTGCCATATGAAGTTATCCTAGAAAGAAGACGGAGCTCCCACTCAAAAGGCTGCCTGTCATCGCACACAGCGAAGGAAATTGAAGTTAGCCCTTGCAGCTTCAAGCTATTTCTGCACATCGCCACCTTTTACGTGTCTTAGAAAAGCAAAGATTCTAATTTGCAATCACCTGCAAGATCACAACTAGCTAGTTAGGGCAAGGCTGTAGATTCAAGATCCGGGGCCAGACCAGAGCATTGTCCTAGATTCATTCAAGGGTAGAAAGGCAAACACTGTAAAATAAAATCAGTAGCCACAACAGAGTGCCACAGGAGAGCAGTTGCAAGTTGCAATTAGAGAAAAAAGATCTTCATAATCAATTATATAGTTTGGGAATTGATTTCAATTATAGTCGAAGCGTTATATACATATACACACACATTAAACAATGATATATGGAATATTACTGCTACAACTGGTTAACTCTAGTCTGGCAAACTAGCGCGGGTACAACTCGATTACAGCAACAATGACAGTAATGTCATCAACTTTGCCTCCAATGTGCTCGATTCCTGCAGACTCAGCAGCAACTGCAAAGGGAGAGTCATAATCCTGGCTGGTTGAATTCATGGACGCAACAGTTGCGATGGTCCAGGCAAGATCCTGAAGACAAGATCTTCCTTCAGTTTCTTGAAGAGTCTCCTCGATCTCGGAGCCGAAAAGATTATCGAACAACCATCAGTGCCAGCAACCACAATATCCCCCTGCTCCACATCAAATTCACCAAGGAAAACCGAAGCCTGGCGCTTACCCTTCTGAACCCAATTCCCCAACGAAAAAGGGCAGTTGAAAAAACTGTGCTGTGTCGGTGACCTGTAAACAAGCCTTTTCCCTCTGAAAACGATGAAACCGCTATCACCCACGTTGGCATAACACAATCGGTCTCTTTTAAGGGTAACAACACAGGCAGTGGATGATCCTAAAGCAACCGTCTTGGAATGCGCTTTTAACTATATTTTCTTGAGATTAACATCCCCTTTAGGCTTCAAGGATCGAAGAGCAGTGAGATAATTGGACATAAGTTCTCTTGCAAAAATCCCAGAATCAGTTCCTTTCATAGCCCATCCACCAACACCATCAGCCACCCCAAAGGTTCGCCTTTCTTGGGATATAAAATGAGCGTCTTCTCCTAAACTTTCTGGGTTCGACTCCAACTTCTTAGGAAAATAACAGAATCCTAGATTCATCTTCAACTTCCCTTTGCTTTCATAATCGGGAAACGTAACCGTGGCTTGGAATCTTCTCTTTTTTATGATCATGTAGTTAGTTGCCTTAATTTGGGTGGGGTTCGGTCGCTGGGTAGATCAATTTGTGACGAAGAAGAAAGAAAGTATTGTCCTTACTGAATTGGGAAGGAAGAAACAGAGGGAGGGATTTGAGAGGAAAGGATGAAGAAGCAGTCGTTAGGGTTTTGTTTGGGAAGAAGAAATTAGAGATTACGCGTATTTCTCAGTCAGCAGTGTGCTGAAGTAAACACACACTGTAACGCGAGGATAGGCACTTTTCTTCCGTTCTCAGTCAGCCGTCGGAGAAATTCATGTTTTCAAATTACAAGGAAAAGAAAAAAAGAGCTCTAACAACAAAATTATATAAAATCAAAAAATAAAATATAAAAGGAAAGTAAAAATGGAAAAATAAAAAGAAAAGGAAAGGAAAATTGAAATCCAACATCCAAGCCTCTAACACTTACATCTTGAAAACAAAATTAAATGAAAAAAATCCTTTTTATAATTGTTTTTTCCATAAAATATTGAGGAAACAAGAAGAGCCCTAAAATAAGTAAAATTAAAGATGAGAGACCCAAATAGAAAAATAATAAAAATCTAAATACACATATGAAATCTTGTCTTTCATAATTTCTCTATAATGGCCCACTTTTTGTCACATGATTCGAGATGATGGACCCAACGTGGCATTAGCGAAGGAACGAGGTTTATTCACACAAAAATCCTAAAAAGAAAACACAATAATAAATTGTAAGAATAAACTCACAAGTGTGAATATTTCAAAAATTGACTATCGAGTCCCAAATCTTAAAATAAGAGTTCAATAGCTTGTTGTAAATAGAAAATAAAAATAACATAGAATCTAAAATTAATATTGAAATAAAAGGAAAAGATTTTAAGTAATTCATCTTGTCAATCATAGGCTAAATAAGAAAATAAAATAAAATAAAAATTAAAAATTAAAGAAAATAATTATTAAAAAAGCTAAATTTCTATAACAAGAGTCTAGGATGATTTGGAAGATTTGAATCATAAAAATGCTTCTAAGTAGGTTTTAGAGTGAATTTTGATTTTGAAAATGACATTAAATGGTTTTTGAACTGATATGATTTGCTTCAATCAAATACTTAGATAAAAAATTATGGCCATCAAACATTATGTGTGCTTACCCTTCTAAATTGTTTTCTTCTTTTTTTATTCTTAATATTAAGCTAGTTTATAAAATCTTATTATTAGAAATTGTAAAATAATAACAAAATTACCCGTATAATGTTTTCTATCGATAATATTCAATTATAATAGCAACAAAATATTTATAGTGGTCATTTCTAATGCAATTAGTGACTTAAATGTATTTTTCAATAATTAATGATAGAATCATCAATATAATAAAATAATTTAAAAAAATATTATCAATGATTATGTCGTTAATATGACATATCATCATTTCCCAATAAATTTACTAATAGTATTTTCCATCACAATATTTTGTAGAAAATTCTGGTAGTAAATTTAAAAGTGTTATAACCGATGTCAACCCTATTCTTTTTCTTCTTCTTTTTTTTAATTGCAAATCAAAACAACAGCCCCTCTCACCTATTTACCCATGAATCTAGGTTTCATCATCACAAATTCAACCACCCAACACTTTGTAGTGTCATCATCATTGTCATGGTACCGTTTTTTTCTAAATATTCTCTACGCTGGGCAAGCAAACCTATTCATTTATATTTTAAAATAATATATTAATTTGAGATAGGGTATTTGTAGTGAAGTTTGCTTGTATATTTAAGTGTTTCATAACCTTTTCATATAAAAATAGAGTTTGATTTCTATGTTAGAGTTTGTTTGTAATTGAAAGAAATTTGAATTTGTTTGTAATTTGATAAAATTAATTTTGAATTTGATTTTGTAAATTAGATGTGTTATAATGAATGAAATGATGGGTTGTTTAATGGGTAACAATCACATTTTATCAATTTTATTATTGTGTTGAAAATTTTGGGAAAATTGATTTTTTGTGGAATTGATAACCATTAAATCATATTGATTTAGATTGAATAATTAGTTGGGTACCAATTAAATCTTGTTAATTGGATTTATTTAGTTAATATTTTGATGCATCATTATATTTTTGTACAAAAATAATAATTGGTTATTAGATTGTGAATTCATTTTTAATTACCAAAGTTGAATTTTGAATTGATTGTTATATTATTAAGAAATGTTATTATCATTATTCTATATAAGTTTTCTAAGTAATGGATGATCATTTTTAGATGCATCGAGATTCACCTCAAAGGTTGTATAGAGAAGATTATTATAAAAGAAATGAGGGTTTTATTAATTTTACACTTTCAAATCTAAAGAATATTAGTAGAGGTAAAATTAGATATTCACATGTGAAATGTAAAAACAAAAAGTTCTACCAATTAGATATTATGATGATGCATTTTCTTAAAAATAAAAATTTGTTGAGAAATACTTGTGTTTATTTGTACATAAAGACCATGTAATAAATGATAATAGTAAGCAATACATAAGTATAGTAATGGATGCAATAGGAATAAATTATGGTTATTCAAGAATCAAATGTAGATGCAATTAGGTTTTTTGAACTTCTAAAAGATTTTGATGAACCATTATGAAATGAATGCACAAATCATAATCAATTATTGGCTATTTCATGTGTGTTTTCTATCAAGTTTGATTATGATTTAAGTTAGGCTAATTATGATAGCATAATCGAATGGGAAAATGGTATTTTGCCTGAAGGAAATAGGATAAAAGAAAACTTTTATATTAAAAAACCTATGATGAAACCCTTTGAACTGGATACCAAAAAAAATTATATGTGCCTTAGTTTTTCCATGTTATACTACAATGAAGATGTAAATTTAATTGAGTACAAAACTTGTGGGCATGCTCGGTATAAACCTAATATGAGTAGGGGAAAGAAACTTATCGCATATAAAAAAACTATGATACTTTCTAATTACTTTTAGACTGCAAATATTATTTATGTTTCCAAAGATATCAAAGCACATGATATGGTATCATTCATATGATATAGAAGATGGAGTCATAAAACACCCATCTAATGGTGAAGCTTGGAAGTAATTTAATGGAACAACATAATATGCATCATAGTTTGTGTATAAATAAGTTCAATCCTTTTTGGTTATTTATTGCACTCCATTCTTATTGGATTATCATAATAACAATTTACAACTTGTCATTGAGGATGTGTATGATGTCAAAATTCATATTTTTATCTATAATCATATCAGGTTCTTACAATCTAAGTTGGAATATAAATATTTGTCTTCAACCACTAATTAATAAGTTGAAATAGTTATGGTCATTTAGAGCTTTGACATATGATGTTGCAAGGAAATATAATTTTCAAATAAAGACAAGTTTGATGTGGACTATAAATGATTTTTGTATATATGAGATGGTTTTGGGATGGAGCACACATGAAAATTAGATATTATATACATTCTGGAATTTTTAAGCTACTAAGTCTTGATGGTACATCACCTAAAACCCGTGAATCGTGTGCACTTCCTTATTAGCCAGCTAAAACATATATAAACTTCAAATCAAAAGTTATAGCTGCTAAAATATTTTTTGTTGTTTCTTATTTTCGATCTCGAAACTTTTCTTAAAACTCAGCAAGAACATTTGCAAGAAGATGGGTACCATCAATTGCTCCCACATAATCCTATATAAACATGAAAAAATAATTTATAAACTTTTCTTCTAAATGTAATTAATTAATGTATAAAAATATTGGTATTGTTCTTTTAACTTAAAATAAGCATAGAATTTATGTTTATTCATTATCTCTATAGGAACTATATGCATCAGGTCTTAAGGTGTTTCTATAATTTAAGAACTTCTTTTAATACAATTCTAAAATAATGATAAATAGTTTCAACAGACCTATAGTATATACTACTAATAAAATGAAATCTTTGGTTTCGGTCTATAATTTGTAATAATACAAATACTTACTCCCTAATAGACATATTTTGAGTTAAACGTAATAGATCATGACTTGTAAGAATATCACACAAATTATATAATATAAATAGTTTCATACGAATTTGTTCATTGTAATGTCTATCACCTCAATTCAAAATGCTATCAATTTAAAATTCTCATTCAACAATTGTATTTATATATGATTCTCTTGGTATATAAATTTTATTTCTTTCTTGTTCAATAATAGCTACCCCTGCAGCTATAACAGTTACAGCTACTCTCATACATGCTACATGAATAATCTTACTATCCATAACAAGAAAGTGAAGTTTTTTTATAACAAACCTAAAATTTTTGAAAAATAAACATTAAAAAAGCACACCAAATACTTACACAATCAATACAAGAAATTATGCTCAAACTAACACATATTATAAATTAAAAGGTTAGAAATAAAATGAGCTGTCAATGTATAATAGTTATGGCAATGATATCTGATCCTTTAAACAGACGAGACCTTAAAGTAGCTTGTTTTATAAATTCTCAATCCTTATGTTTCATGGTCTGAAAATACAATTTTCATGCAAAACCTTTACTGAAACTTGATATCATTGTCATCTTTATTCATTTGCCTCAAAATACCTAACAGAAAACGCATATCATCAACAGAGATGCAAGCTTTAATCATGGAAATGCATATTTTTTCTCCAACACCAAATAAATTATCGGGAATCAAAATTTTTAGGAAAGCAAAGGAGAAGGAGAAGGACAAGCCAATAAAGTATTCCATGATACGCACTTCAAAAGTGTTTACAATGTCACTGAGAAGCTATCTGCAAATATCACACCAAACAATAATGGGATTTGATAGTGTGTTTAAAGCCAGGTTTTATAAAGGGTAAGGAGTTGAAGAATTAAAGGGCAAAATTGCTGTTGAAATCATGGTGGTTGTTAAAGAAGGAGAAAACATGGGAAGGGGACAGATTTATGATTAGCTTACGGAAATAAGGGTGTTTTTTCCATTTAGGATGGGAGAGGATGGAGAGAAGGTGATGCGAGGAGAGATCATCAAGTAGGTCAGGTTCAACTAAAATAGAAGCAATTGAAGAAGAAGGAAAGAAAGAGAAAGAGATGGAGTGGAATTGAAAACAGATTTGATGGAAAATTTAAAGAAAAACAGAAGATGGATTGAAAGAAAAGACATGGAAAACTCATACTTTCCCATTTAAACAAATATAAATGTAAAATGAACATGAAAAAGAAGAGCTTTGTTATTGGGTAAAGCAATGAGTCTAAAAAAAGTTAATGAAAGAAAGTAAAGTAGTAAAGGCAAAAATAAGCCAAAACCTATCAAAAACAAACATTTCCTTCCACGAATAACACCATAATTGTTAAGCCAAAACAAGGTAGGACATAGGAGCAGAGAGGATACCTGGTTAAAGACATAGATTATGGAAAAGGCAAGAACAGGGACATGCTAAAAAGAAAGATCATCGGGACATAATATAAAGGGGTAGAGATGGAATTGAAAATGGTTTAGAAAACTTAAACCAACTATTATAACAAATCATATAACCTAAACAAAATAAGGCATAGAGTTGCTGTGTTTTGTTCACAGAAACCAAACAAAACATTAAAAATACAACAAATTAGCAAGATCATAAAATCTATGCCATAATCATAGCTACAAATCCAAACAAAGAAAAAGAAAACATAAGGCAAATAATAGAGAGATATTTGAGGAAAAAGGGTTACCTGAAATAAGAGGATTCAATATGCTTCAATGGAGATTATTGCAGATAACAGAGGAAAAAAAGGAAATTATGATTATTTTATTACTGGTACAGAAATTTGAGAGAGACAGAGGGATTTGCATCAGCCACAAGAAAGTGTTTTGTAAGGAAAAAAAAGTATTTTTCAAGGATAAGAAAAGAAAAACACTTTCTTGGCATAAATGTTTAACTTTCCATTTAACTAACTTTCCATAAGGTTACAAAACATAGGAAAGTGAAGAAAATGATTTTTAAAAAAGTGTTTTCCTAAAAACAAAAATATTTTGATAACTTTTTACTATTTCTTGAAAATTAGTTAATATTTTTTAAAAAAACAAACTAATAAATAATTATTATGATATAGTTTTAAAATTTTTAAATAAATATATTTATAATTATTTAAATGGTTATATATCTTATTTACAACTTATCTATTTTTAGTTGGGTCGCTCAAACTAGCTAGAATATTGCATTTCAATTCAAAATATCATGCGGTCGAGTAATTAATCTAAAATTTAAATTAAATGTTATTTTATTTATTTTATTTTAAAAAAAAAAAGAGTTGAGTTTACTCAACTTTGTAATTATATTTTGATTATGTTCCTTCTTTTTTGTATTATTTAAGTGTCTTTTGATTCAAGCTTTGAGCTTGAGTCTGTTGTTCTCCCAACGGAAAAGTGGCTGAAAGAAGAATTTCCCTCGTACGAGGGTAAAACCTTCATGATCTAAGGTCCTCCCCGTTCCAATAACACCTTCCGGCCACCCTTTGTTTTTTCATCAAAGGAAATATGAATAGCAACACTTATATGTTGATTTGAAGTGATTAGTGCCTATATATATATATATATATTGGTCCTCGATCGGCAGTCCCTTGACTTCTTTTATTTGGCCATCCATGGGTAAGGACTAGAGCTATGCACACAGGAGAGCATCTCTTACTTGACTTCATCCATTATCTTACTCTTCTTGCATTGAAAAGCCAATCCTTTCTTATCTGTGTAGTGTCTTCAAAACCTATCCATGTCACTTAGACTCCCCTGCTCTCTCCATTAAGAGCTGGTCCCTCATCTATATCCTAATCTCTTTTGCACGTTCATGGTCTTCCTCATGATACAAAGCCATGAATTTTCCCTCATCGTTTCTTTTCATTCTACTTCTAGTCTCCTTCTCCCACCTCCTCACTCATTCCAGTTTGGCCATCAGAAAGTTTGAAGGTTTTTGCTCTCTCTCTATCTTTCTCTCCCTCTGATCTTTTTCTACAATAATAATATGTCATCTTAAAATTGATGGGTTTGTTTTTCAGATACTGGAATGACCAGAGCGAGGTCATCAAATATTAAAGTCAAGGTTAGTACAGTAAGTAGTTTCTACTCTTGTTGTCACAGTGAAATCACCAGCACCTTATACTTCAGCTTGTTGTTTTTCTTATACTCTTTTATTTGGTGAATCTTCAGTCATTTGAAGAAGGTGATCATGTTCAAAGGAAACACTTGCATGAAGTGCATTCAGGACCTAATCCTATCAGTAATTCCTTTCCACGACAAAAGTGGAAAACTAGGTTAAGAAGAAGTCCATAAAATTACTTCTTCTCATCATTTCTTCTATACCAAGTTTGTCAGCTAGATTTGCAACTTTATATGAAAAGCTATTAGCAGATCTTTTAGTTATGCTTTTGACTTGCCATTATTACAGCAATCATCATCTGAATCGAGCTGGGAAATAAAAGTAATTCAAATGACTGTTCAATCACCCCTGAAATAGGTGTGCAGTAGTATATTAATTATGAAGCAATGATGCCACAATAATTCATTATGGTGCGCACCTAGCTGCTAAGCGATGGGCCAGCACTAATTTCACGCAATCTGCTGTGTCGCATAATATCGGTTTCTGACATGGCAAAACAATACGAGGTCTACCATATTGTATTGTCTTAAAGCAGTCCAAGTCAAGAGGCGGACTACAAACACAAGCGCACAGCAAAACAAACACTTCTTATAAACACAAAAGAATTATTAGTCCACAATTTAAGGTACACCAATGCGTAGCGTTTGCACTACGTATACACAATCTTGACGAAAAACAACGTAGCTAAATCAAAATCTATAAAGTTTGCTTCATGTTTTCTGAAGCTTGAGTTGATGTATTAAAGATTGAGGTAAAAGGGGTGCTTTTTATTTGCTTTATTAAAAGTTTGTTTAAAAGCATCTCCCACTAATATATATATATATGGGCATAAACATCTCTGCAACCTCGTCTTGACTTCAACCTGGTTTCAATCAAAACTAACTGGGATTCACCGTGGGGGAAAAAACACTCGGTTTAAGTAGTGGAATGCCAGACTGACCTCTACCACATCTGTGGAAAATTAAAAAGCATGAGGCGACGTGTGATCATTGGTTTATCATCTGTTTCGTAACTGTTTCAATATGTATGTTCTCCAGTTGCTGCTGGTCCATGATTTTTTGTTGGTCCTCTAATGTTTCAAACAATCAAAAGAGAGGAAAGAGGAACATAATGAGAGGCATAATTGTACAGTTTTGAGAATAAAAATAAAAATAAAAGCATATGATCCCTCTTGCTGCTGTTTCCTTTTAGAAAAGAAGTCTAAAAAAGCAATCTAAAAAGGTGCTTATAAAATCTGTATTGACGAGAAATGTGGCCAAACATTTCTTCTTCTCCTAGTATGATTAACTTTTCTTATGTGTGTGTTCCAGTTCATTTGTCGGTAAAACACAAAATACATGTAGAGATGCCGTCATGAAAACATGTGGGAATGGTTACTAGACTTGCATCTAAAAACAATATCCGGCCCCTGCCAAAGAAATTACAAGGATTCTCTTAGGGTGTGCTTTATTTTCGTTCTTCAACCCTTTTTTTAACTTTTTTTTTATATCGAGAAATATAAAATTGATATTAATAATTTAAAAAATATAAAATTGATATATTTTTAATTAAAAAATACTCTTACAAAAGCACAATGCATCACCTTATCATACACATACTTGGTAAAAACTCTTGTATAATGACTAAAAATCCAAAGAAAAGTATTTTATCTTTTAATCAAAATAAACGATAGAAAAAAAAATGTTTCAATTTAAAGTTTCTAACTCTTTGAAATTTTTTAGAAATTTTTTAGAGTGAGGAATTAAATGTTAAGTACAAATCATAGTTTTAATACTTCAAAATCTATTTTATATATTTCTTCCTTCAAATACTAGAAAAAATATGTGACAAAGTAACAAACTATATCTATGATAACAAATTCGTTTTATGTATTATCAACAGAATTCATTGTAACAAGCAACACACTCGTATTTAAAAAAAAAAAAAGAAACATTCAACATTGAACTATCAAAATAGAATAGCATAAAATGAGATTTAAAAAAAAAACAAGATCAAAATACTTCACTTTGTATTCTAAAGCTAGAATTAGTGATTCTTGTAAATCTAATCCATTAAAATTTTAGTCATTAAAATAAAAAAATTATAAATCTTCAAAATAATGAATAGAAATATAGCAAATAGACACTATAACACCTATTATAGGAGTATTTCTCACCCCATAGGCGACTTTACCAATTATGAATTCAATGAATCCCCAACAATAAATTCCTCTATAGTATAAACTATGGAGGATGAAATTGTAAAGAAAAATCTAAAAAAGAGATCTCAAGTAAAATAAATAGCAATAAAAAAAATAAGAGGTAAATTTGAAAGATAAAAAAATGAAAAAGGATGAAATTAAAAAATATTTGTAATTGTGTTTTAATTTATTTTTTTAAGAATGTAACTCAAAGAATAGACACGACCATGAAAAAAAGGCTTATACACACACACACACAAAAAAAAAAAAGGAAACAATAAAAATTGCATAGTTAAAAAATCATGTAGAATGCAAATAAACAAAAATAAAAGCTTAATTACTAATAATGTAAATGTTAAATGATAAAATATAAAAAAAAGAAATACTTAAAAAATCACAAGAAAACTATAGTCATTTTTAAAATAAGTGGAACATACTAGAGAAAACTAATAAAGAAAAATAATTTAAAATTTTTATCTTAAATAGAACATATAGTAATAAAAATAATTAGAATTAAATTCAAAAGAAAATAAAATATAGGGGGATGAAATAGAAAACAAATTCTAACCTTATAAATCATTTTAAAAAATCATTTCAAATATTAAAGAAAGGGATCAGGAAAAAATATAAATTTAAAGGATTAGCTGAAAAATCCAACAAAAAATGATAAACAAAAAAACTTGAAATAATTGAGTTATTTTTAAGACCAATAAAAAATTTCACAAAAAACAAGCTAAAAAAAAACATACCCTATAATTAAATAAATACTTAGGCATGAAACTGGAAATAAATAGCTTAGAAAAAGTAAAAAAAACATAAGTAAACTCGGAAAAACATCTTAAAATTGGTTAAATCTTAAAAACTCATAACCTGTGAACCTAGAATCATAGTCAAATTAAGAAGTATATTATAAAAAAATTTGAAATATCAATTTTAAAAACTTCTCAAAGAAAAAAAAAACCAACATTCAAAAGAATAGGTATTAAATTTGATAAAAGAAATAAATGAAAAGATGGTGAAATTGTAAAATAAAATCAATTTAAAAATTTATTTCAAACAAAAAAAAAAGCTATCAAAAGAATGAGAATAAAATTTAAAAAAATTAAAAAGGCTTTAAAGAGATGAAATTGAAAAGATATACCAATTTTGTAAAGTATTTAAGATAAAAAAAAATTTAAAAAAATAAACCAAATCTAAAGAGCCGACAAATTCAAGTGTTATTCTGAATTTTTAAGAGGATGACGTCAGAATTTAGACGAGGAGAAAGAAAAGAAAGAAGGAATAGTTGTCAGTACCAAACTATCATGAATCTTGGAACATGTGCTGCCTAATCTTACTGGAGACATCAAGACCTTTCAAACATCATCCTAAAAAGTCATGTTTGGTTATCAAACGGACCCACACACTGGCGTATGTGTGGAATACATTAGTAAGTTTTTTAATCATATTTAATGTATGTTAATTATAAATATAAAATAACCTCCTAAACAACTTTCATATCTATAACAAAACCAATATAAAATAATAAAACAAACCCTTACAAGTAAGTTAAGTTGATTTTGTTTTTAAGAACATCAAAGTAATTATATTATTTTAAAATTTTAAAAATACCACAACATCCTTGAATAATAGGCGTCATTTTTTTTTGTTATAGGATTAAATTTATATTTTAACTATGCCAAAAAAAAAATCAATTCAACCACATGAAATGTATAAAAGATAATTGTTTAATGATGAAAAGACCACCTTAACTCCAATATCAAGTCAAAATATTATCAATTAAAAGAATAAGGACAAAATTTAAAAGATGAAAAAAAATTAAGAGGGATGAAATTGAAAAGGTATACAAATTTTATAAATTATTTAAAATAAAAAATCATAATAAAAAGAAAATAAATCAAACCTGAAGTATCAAGATATTAAAGTGTTATTCTTAAATTTTTAAGGAGATAACGTGAAAATCTAAGTGGATGAATAGAGATAAAAAGGGAGAAAATAGTCGTCATTGTTAAACTATTGTGAATCTTGAGACACATACTGCCTAATCTGGTTTAGGGTATTAAAACCTTGCAAACACTGCTTGGAAAGTTATATTTAGTTGTTGGGTGACTCTACAGACTAATGCATGCATGGCACACTCCAACATGTTTTTTGAATCATATATATTGAGACCTTGCAAAGACTACTTGAAAAGTTATATTTGGTTATTGAATAGCTCTGCACACTAATGCATTTATGGCAGACTCCAACATGTTTTTTTAATCATATTTAATATATATAAGTTACAACAAAAAAAAAACTTTCTAAATAACCTTCATATCTATAATAAAACCAATGTAAAATGGCAAAAAAACACTTATAAAAGAGTTAAGTTACATTTTTTTTAATAATATCAAAGTAATTATATTATTTTAAAAATTAAAAATACCAAAATATCCTTGAGTAAGAGGCATCATATTTTTTTTATTACAGGATAAATTTATATTTTAATTATGCAAAAAAAAATCAATTTAACCCATGCAATTTATAAAAAATACAAATTTTATAAATTATTCAAAATAAAAAATCATAATAAAAAGAAAATGAATCAAACCTGAAGTATCAAGATATTAAAGTGTTATTTTTAAATTTTTAAGGAGATAACATGAAAATCTAAGTGGATGAACAGAGATAAAAAGGGAGGAGATAGTCGTCATTGTTAAACTGTTGTGAATCTTGAGACACACACTGCCTAATTTGGTTTAGGGTATTGAGACCTTGCAAACACTACTTGAAAAGTTATATTTGGTTGTTGAATAGCTCCACGTACTAATGCATTTGTGGCAGACTCCAACATGTTTTTTTAATCATATTTAATATATATAAGTTACAACAAAAAAAAAACTTTCTAAATAACCTTCATATTTATAATAAAATCAATGTAAAATGGCAAAAAAACACTTATAAAAGAGTTAAGTTACATTTTTTTTAATAATATCAAAGTAATTATATTATTTTAAAAATTAAAAATACCAAAATATCCTTGAGTAAGAGGCATCATATTTTTTTTATTACAGGATAAATTTATATTTTAATTATGCAAAAAAAAAAATCAATTTAACCCCATGCAATTTATAAAAAATGATTGTATCATAATAAAAATATCATCTTACTTCCAATATCAGGTCTAAATGTTTTTTTAATCAAGAGCAAACTTCAAAAAGTGTTGTGCATTTCCACAACAGATTGATAGGCTTGAAGCTTTGAAGATTAACTAGGATGGCTTGGTGAAGTCTAGAGTGAATTATCTGCAGATGCATGGCTCTTACAAATGCTAGCATATGAGCTTGAAGAGCTGGGGAATGATATTACAAAGTTGGGTTGGTGATCCGAGGTTTCATGCAAAACAGGTCCCTTTATATATAATATAGACAAATTCCTTGATATTCGTGGGAGAGAAGTCGTCATGAAGGCTATGTTATTTATGTGCTTGTGATTGTTCCTAGGAAATATCGAAGAAAATAAAGGTTAAAATACTATAGTATAAAAGAAAAGGCTCATGAACCGACAAATATTATTTGTTTTTTTTAATTTATAGACTCTAATGGACGGTGGCTTTTTTTCAGGGTAAAATGCCTTGTTACATCAAATACCGACAAAATATAAAAAACAATCTAGTATAGTATTTACTGTAATTAAATTATTTTTTATTTAAAAATATATAAAAATAATATTTTTTTTATTTTTTTAAATTTATTTTAAATATTAGTATATCAACACAATCTAAAATTATCAAAAATATTATTTTAAAACAAAAAAATTAAAAATCTTCAAATTTTTTTAAGTATGTTTTTAGAATTAAAAAATATAAATATAAATTTAAAATATTTTTTTACTTAAAATATATTAAAATAAAAAAATATTTTAAAAAAGTTAATTATGTTTTGCTGTGACAGCAGTTAGTTTTGAAAATACTTTTCGCTCATAAATATATTAAAATAAAAAATTATTTTTAATAATATTATATTAAAATATTTGAAAATATAAAAAAAATTAATTTAAAATATAAAAAAAAATTAAAAATAAAATATAAAAATAAAATGACATGAATACACTAACGGCCAGTTGTGGTGCTAGGGGACAAAAGTCAAGCAGAGGAGGGACATGTAGTTGGTTCACTGGGAAGGGGAGCACAACTAGGTGGAAGAAGATCTTGGATTCGGGCATGGCTTGCCCGAACCCAACTAGAAGAAGGCCAAGGTGTGGCCTTTGGGCTCGAACATAGCTTGCTTTAGCTCAACTAGAAAGATCTCAAGAGGTGGTCTCGAATTTGAACATAGTTTGTCTTAGCGAGGCTCACTATAGGTTCCATAAGACCCTGCCTTGAAGAAAACGTGCAAAGGTCGACATGAATGGGCCTATTACTGGGCCTGGTCCTGGGCCTAGGTACTTGTAAAATGAAATGAACAAGTACTATTTTATCTATGCCCAGTTAATGTGAAGAATATGAAGGAAAAATAATATATAACGGTATCATTATTAAACAATGCGCGATAAAGTACTTCCTCGTGTTATTTAATATTATATAGTTTGGTTTTATATTTTAAAATTAGTTTTAAAAAAATTAAATATTTTTGGATTATTTTGATATATTAATATAAAAAATAATAATATTATTATTATTAATTTAATAGATGTTAAAACAAAAAAAATATTATTTTATTTCATTTGTTATCTTCTTGGTAACGACAACTATGAAAAGAAATAAACGATGCAAATCCGCACTTGTCTATTCTCATGGTGTCGTTATTTAACTTTAATTTAATATTCTAAAATATTAATGACTATGTGGAAGAAATATTAAAATTCATTTCAAGAAAATTATTTTTTCCCAAAGATATATATTATAAAAGTGTTATTTTTCCCCAAAGATATATATTTCATTTAAAGGAATGTCAGAACAAATCCAATCCAGCGAATTCCAATTAAGCTGACTACTCGCACAATAGTCTCCACTGTCACCGTACACCACCCATAGCCACCACCCTTTCACTGCCTTAAACCCCCAATCAACACAGACGCCACCGGAACTCCCTCTCGTGACTGAATCTAGACGGTGGCTAATAAATTTGTGTGTTTGTTTTGGTTTTTTCTTCGCACGCGCCTTCCAAAGTTTCAAGCCAACATTTCCAGCTGCTGCTAGCGAGTACCACGTCGATTACACGCGCCATTTAGTGTTCCAACAAGTCTCTAGTTCAGCAATTGTTTTTGGTGTTTTGCGGTACCCAAAGGGTCACTTTCGGTCATTTTTTATTATTTTGTTTTCATTTGCTTTATTATTTTATTGTAATCTTTATAATAGTGGATAATAATAATTAAAAATTATAAATAAGCATGTGGGGATTAAATTCACGCATAAGGCGTGAATATCCTTGGGGATTTATGATCAAGGGAATTTTATGTGCATGGAATGATAAGGAAAATTCAATCCTCTGGTTAGAATTAAAAGCTAAATGATTTCTTGTCCTTTGGTTTTTTTTTTATATATATATTTTTACATGCATTTCGATCTTATGAGATTTTTTTATTTATATTATTATATCTTCTTTTTAAAAATAAACTGATTTTTTTCTTTTTTAAAAAACAATTACGTTAGAAATTTTCTTTTATAAAAAAATGCTTTTTAAAATATTATATTTTTTTATAAATAAAATAAAAATAAAAATTATTTTTTAAAAATTACTTACTTTTCACATTATATAGTAAATTGTATTTACTGATGAAGTCACCTTAAAGGTTATTACATTAATTTTTTTAAAAAAAATATTATTTATTTTTATTTTTTCACTTGACTTTAGAAATAGATTTTCATTTTATTTTAAATTTTTTATTTTTTTTTTATTAAGATTTGTTTTTATTACAAGAGAATTTGTACTGGATTAACATGGCCCCAAAAAATCCATCAAGAACAAATAACCACCCATAAACATAATTTGAAATATTACAAAAAAAATGTATTCAAGTACCCAATTTAATTTTCATTATCCTCTCTAGTCCAATGCAGGGTTATAAAAAGTGAGGATTGAGCCTTTAAATTAGTTTTTCATTCCAAATCACGTTTTTTTTTTTTAAAAAAAAAAGCTCATGTTGAGTTTAAACAAATAATTGAAAAGAGAATATCATTATAAGCTTGACATATAGAAATAGTTTATCTTGGATATAATATTTTAGGGTGATGAATCTCTCAGTTAGTATAATCAATCTCTAATCTAAAAATATTTGAAAACCTATTAGGATTCATAATTATAATAAATTAGATTATGATTTCTTATTTATTTTTTACATTTTTAAATTTCCCTGTAATGTCAAAAGCAGCAACAATCAATAGATTTGAACATCCAAACTCATCTCATATCACAATTCTCCTCTTTCAGTGCTTAATTTGTTCAATAGAGATTAATTTTTGAAGAGGTGTTCAACCTTGCATGAGAAAACAATCGAAACCACAAATAGCTATGAAGTTATTACTACAGAGGAGGGTTTCGCCCGCCACAAACTTGGAAAACGAACCAGCAACTGCACACCTAAGGGTGGAGAGGTAGGTAGGGTCATAGCCCTTAAAAAAAAAAAAAAAGAAGCTTCCTCTAGAAAAATTTAAGATTTTAATATCAAAATTAGTAAAATTTAAGCTTTGATCCTCCTAGAAAAAAGTTTCTAATTTTGGCCCCTCATCAAAGATTTTCTTGGCTCCTCCCTTAGACACACCCTTACAAAATAAAATTTACTCATCAAAAAGCCGCCATGGGTAAAAAAAAAAAAAAAACTCTTTCAAACCCTTAATGCCATTTAAGAAACCAATGAAGGAAATTATTAATAGAAAAGGTCATCTTGGCCCAAAAGGGTTAAATGAGAGGGGTGGGGAGGGGGGAGCCGTCCCTTAGAAGAAAAGAGAAGCCTGAAGAGAAGGATTTAAGCTTTAGGTGGCATTTAATAATAATTAAATTATTCATAATAAATAAAAAATTATTTGGTGCGTATTTTGAAATAAAAGCAAGAGGAGAGTGACAATATCCTTTTGGAGGACAAAATTTACCTTAAAAATAAGCTTTGGAGGGTAATTACTTCCCTTAAAATTTCACTTTATCCAAAAACTATATAAAACTGAATTAAACTTTATAAGAGCATCACCTCATTAACCTCCAATCAATAATTATAACGCGATATGGAAAAAATACAATTTTTAAAGACTATATGGATTGAGAGAGACTCCACTAAAGTTTATTGCTTTTGCTTGTCTGGCCACTTACTAAAATGCATCCCCCCTTTGCAATAACAATGAGTTAATGCCCAAAAAAAATGACATAAAAAAACACATCCAAGTACAAAACTAGTATTATTAACAATTAAAATGAAATAATAAATAAATGCAAGCTGATAAGATCATAAAAAAATCTCAAATATCATAATACGATCACAAATAATATTTAACTAAATAAGTGCTTTGTGCTATGTCACAAGCTAAACTAATTTTTTCTTGATGTAAAAAAAATATTAAGGTGATTCTTGTGTTTTTAAACAATCAAGAAAATATGATATTTGGATAATTAATTGCATCGAGTTTAAAAAACTTGATTAATCTGATAATATGATTAAAAAAACAATAAGTTAATGCAAAAAAAAAATGCATGACAATACCTTGAAAATATATCATTTTAATATTCTTAAAAGGTTCAAATGATCTTATTTGTTAACAAAACAAAAGTTAAATAAGAATGAAATGATCATGTAGAAAGTAAAATGAAAAAAAATATGAATCTCAATTCCTAGTAAATAAAATGTTGAATGACATAATTTAAAAAAATTAAAAAGAAAAAAATAGCTCGAGTCTATCTAAGTCAATAAGTCATGTTTGTGACCTAATCGTGAGATTAAGATAACTCTATAAAAAATAAAATATAAAGCTAAATTCTTAAATGAATCAGGTGTTGTAATTGTGAAATCCAAAAAAAAAAAATTAAAAAAAGCAACGTGAAAAAAGGACTCGAGTCAACCCTGGTGATTTTGTTAAATTCATGATTCAGGATATTAGATTGGGATAAATATATAGAAATAAAAATAAACAATATTAAATACAAATCATCAACGAACACAATGTTAAAAGATGAAATTCAAAATAAATAAATAAATAAATGAGGACTTAAAAAAACTGAATTCAACTCGATCTAATCTCTTAAACTCATAATATGAGTCATGAGGTTGAATTGAACCATAAAAATCAAACTAAAAAAAAATCATGAAGCCAAATAATGAGGGGTA